TCAAATAGACTCTGGGTGAATACACAATGCACTTTCCAAGATGATAGCTAGAAAAAAAATAATTGAACTATATGATAATACAATTTAAGATTAGAATTATAACAATGCATCTCATACACGAAAAAAGGTATTGCCACAGAGCTAAACAATTACAACAGTGATCAAAATTATAAAATGATTTAAGTATTATTGAACATTAAGTTCAAGATATTTTTCTTTACATTTTCACATAAATGGCCATTCACTTTTTTTCCTGTGAATCGATGCAACCTGTTGGTTGTAAATTTCTAATCAACTTGGAGAAAAACTTTGTAAAGTTTGATATTTTTCGTTCCAGTCCATTTCCACAGTGTATATAGCTGAATCTGTACATCATGTTTTGTGTATGTTCTGAAATAAAATATATTAAAATCAAACTAAAATTATTAAAAACTGCATAGCCTTGAAGCCAAAAAAGTGTGATTTTATGTTTCAATTCACAAGATATGAGAACTTAAAACAGAAAGATAGTCAAATGATAAATAAGAAATATACTCAGAAATAAATTGAAAATTGTATTATTGTGAAATTTTTGAAAATTAATAATGAATTCATTCAATGTGTATATTATGAAAATGGAATAAAAACAAGATAAAAAAAAGTATGCACTTACAAGATATATCACGTTAAAGCGGGAAAATGAATGTTGTTGTACAAATATTTTAATACTTGTTTCGTAACTGGATAACCTTTTCTGGAGAACCCTTGAAGTGTCCGTAACTTCCGAATAATCTTGATACTTTTAAGTCAGTTGTAAGGTTTACTTTTGTACTTTAAGCATGAGACCTTAGCTTGTTTGTTTATTTCATATTGAGTATAAATGTCGTTTTTGAATTTAAATGTTTTCTTAATATGTGTTTTTGACATTTGTTATTAACATTTATTTCTTCTCCTTTAATTCAACGGCTGGCTGAATATTTTCAAGCGGTGTTATTTACAGATAATATTTGGATCACATATATCATTGTCTGAATATGCACTTTTAAAAGATTAAAGCTAGTAAGTTAACCATTATTTATTTTCTATCTTTTTAGGCAATTTTATATATCTGATATAAAATGATTTAACGTTAAAAAGCCAGAATATCATTCATATGAAAAAAAAACTAAGGAAAAACGGGTGATCCCCCGAAAGCAATGGAAGAAACTATATAGACTCGGTTTGATTGAGTCCTTTCATAAGAGATATTGTAAAACTGCAACATCTTTCACGTCCCCTAGCACCGGCATTCTGTAACACTTACTCGCTGGAATCAATCATCCCGACAGAACAAAAGGAATATAAGAAGACACCGAAGCTTAGTACAGGGTAGCCTTTTATAGCTGCCACACAACACTTGACACCTCCTGTTGTGAAGTAAAATAATCCTGAAAAGGGGCCAGCAATGACAATGAAAACTGTCGATATGATTTGATATGTTCTAAAAGTGCAACATCTTTCTGTTCTTAAAAGACTACTGATTAATGTCTATTGTTCAACACATTGGCGGTAAAATTATTTAATCGGTATGTACTGTTTATACTATTGCATATATTATTATATCAAGGTATATAAAACTTTTTTAAACTTTTAGATAACTGTAAAATATACGTTGTTTTGAAACTACCGGCATGTACAAAAATGTTTGATAAAAGCAAAGAACATGATATCTCGTACAGGTACGTATAAAATACAAATACAGAATTGAATGTGTATGAATAAAAGATAGAACGTATTAAGTTGTGTTAAAAGTTTGATCTATTCTCCTCATAAAGATCAAAGATATAGCACGGACTTCAAACTGCAATAAACAATTATATCATTGATAACTTGCAGTTTGATGTCATATCAATAATTTGGTATCATTATTCCTACTTTGAAGAAAAATAAATCATAGTAAAATGTTAAACAAATGTTAATTTTGGAATAATAATTTGTCACAGATTTTAAACGTTTTACTACTTAATATATTAGAAACAAACTATGTGAACGCCGAGTTCAGTAGTTTGTGAATATATTGCTTGCTAAAACAAGTTTCAAACCTTAAATCATGCAACTGTATACGTCTGTATTCACACTCATAAATTTACAGCTCTCTTAAAGCCACAAATTCATTATTTAATTTTTTGGTTTTATATTAACTATTGCATAAGTATATATTTATCAGTTGATCAGTTTACATGCAGAGAGCCGTTAAAACATATCAATTATTCCCAGTATGTTGATATGAAATTGACAAGCTAAACAAACTAGTGTTAATATTCTCAAGTCAGCGCTTTGATGCTATAACAAGATTCACATTAGTCTGTTAAGAGCATGTCATTTACGTATACAGTCCGGCAGTGTTAAAGAACACCTGTACAAAGTGTAGAAATTAAAGTAGAAATAGTAACTCTTTTACCCACATATGTGCTACCCACATATGTATGTATTTAGATTATTAGTGTAATGTCTGTTGTTACAAATGTAACATTGATTGACAAAAATAAAAGAGCATTGTATTGTATTGGTTTGAATAGTGTAAGTATTGCAATCACAGGCTTTAAAGTTATTGGAAATAAAACAAGAAACATTTTATATATTTTTATCACATGACATCCCTTGTTTTACGTATTACTTAATCATTACGTATATTTTTATGACACGCCAGTGTAACATAACATTGTCATACTTTCATCAATTTCAAAGCATTTAGCCATGTGATAAAAAGAGTTTTACATCAGTTGTCATAAAATTTTAATTTTATAAACTCCTTCTAGAAAATGTTTTAAATATCTCCTGAGGCTCACTTTATAACAATCTCTTGAAACGGTTATATAAAATCTTACATTTCATGGTAACTCGTGTCAAACCTTAAATATATTACTGTTAACATTGTTTTGCCAGTTGAAAGTTAATTTGTTACTTTGGATCATAAAATATCCCTATTAGAAATGACAATATTGTCATAACTATCTGGGAATCATATTATTTGCGAATAGCTAGAATTTAAAGCGTTTACTTTAAAACAAACAGTATAGTTTTCATAGATCGTTCAACATGTACTTATGCTTTATCCAAAATTAAAAGAAATAACACACACACTCAACGTTTTGATTTGGAAAAATGTAAAAAGGACAAACCTTGCATGTCTTTCAAAACGATTACGTTAAGTTAAATCTACTACCGTGTTCATGCAATAAAATTACGTTAAATGGTTTAGAAACATTACAGACGAGCAAGTCGACATATTTCTACAATTAGAAAACAATGATGAACTTGTGTATTTTCAGTACAACTCCTTTCAGTTCGTACACATTACAATTTCTAAATCAAATCGTATTGCACGGGAAAATAATTATCAAACAACAATACAGCTATTAAACAAACAGTAACAGAGTTAATATCATATTTAAATATAAAATGTTTCACCATTTTATCATGACACTATTATTAGTTAGAATCAAATTGCAAGAGCATTCACAGAAACGCATTATGATGACAAAGAAATCTTCTTTTAAACACCCATTAAAATTACATCAAGATTCATCATCTTAATGGAAATTGTTGGTGAAGTTTTAAAACAATGGCATAAATCAAATCAAATTACACTTTTATTAGTTCCAAGCCATCTTTTCTGATTTATGCTAAAAGCCAAGGAGGATGTCAACAAAACTACTTAGAATATACTTGTTTGTTTTAGCTGGACTTTTATCGAAGAAAAATATTTTGAGCTATCAGTTGTTCCAGTTGTCGATGCAGTCCAGAAACGGTAACGTTGACCATTTTTTTCATTTCTTAATTGATTGTCTTCATACTTGGACACAATCATCATTTGGACAAAACTGTCAAGAAGACCCAACTAAACTTGACCTTGACTCAAAGTCAAATGTTTGATTTTTGCTTGATTTGCTATAACTGGCTATAACTTTATTTATGAATTGATTGCCTTAACACTTGGACACAGCAATCATTTGGACAAAACTTGCAAGAGGACCAAATTGTTTATGGCCTTTACTTATCAATAATTTTCAACTTGACAGTCTTTGCTATAAATGGCTGTAACTTTGTAAATTATGATATTGTTTTTATACTTCACAACAACATGCACAAACCTTAGGATAAGGCATTAAAATTTTCATTGAATTTTATCTTAATTTGACTTGGACACTGCAATTAGTGAATTTTGCTTCAATTGGCAACAACCTTGTTACCAATTTTTGGGTTTAATTTATACTTGGACAAAAGAAAACATATTTATTTCCAAACCGACATGTTGAATTATTCTGATATTACCTTGACCTATCATTGACCTTAACTGTCAAAATCAAATTACTGAAATTGACTTAAATTGCCATAACTTTGTTATTTATTTATGGGTCCTTTCACCTCATACTTGGACAAAAGAACACATATGAGAAAACAGACATTTTTAATTTATATATGTAGATTTGATTCATACTTGGACAAAATAGCACTTTTGACAAAACTGGCATGATGATTTATTTCAAAGGAGACCTTAACTTTTGAATGACATTTAAAAAATTTGAATTTTTCTTTTAAAAGAAATGTTTCGTAGGAGTACATTTTACTATAATATCCTTTCTCTGATGTGTTTGGTTTTAAAAATAAGAAAAAAGTCGGGCTTGGGCTCTTGTTTTTATTTATTAATTTAGCTACAATAAGGTCTACCCAGTTAAATAAGTGTTGTCAAAGGAATGGAAGAAATTATTTTGTTTCAACATGTAAGTTAAACTATGATGTACGCTTATTGTAAAACTGCTATCTTTCATTACATGTCTTCATTGCCGGAACAAGTATTTTAGATCATACTGTAAATATGCTCAGTTACACTTGAAAGTGTTTTCACCATTTCAAATTAAACTAAATTGCCGTAAAAATGATACAAAGCATAGAAATGTTGTGCTTTCTGTAGCATTAAGTTTATCTATACAGTCACGACGAATTTTATTTCAAATCCATAATTAAAACATCACTCCTTTTTATTCTTCACTTGATTTTGTTTTCCTCAATCTGCAATGAAAAGAACTTATGTATGCATACAAATATAAGCTGTATATCTATCGTTCCTATGTTTTTTGACATCGTTTTTCTGAATCTTTATGTGTTCAATTAAAATTAAATGTCTTACAAAAATTTATCGTTACAGGTCTTGTGAAAATATATGTATATTCGTTTGTTACCTGCAAATTTGTGAAAAGAATCGATAGACTTTACAAGAATGATTGAATATCAGTTGAAGCATATGTGATAAAACAAAAAGAATAGAAGTTTGGACGAAATTATTGTGTTTGTGTTCCTGGCTTTACATTACAAATAGACAAGAAATATTATGTGCATACCTTTCGTGAGTATTCTTTGAGCTGACTGATAACTTTGTCACATCCGAATAAGACGTTGTAACAAGTTCTTTAGATAAAGTAGTTTCTTTAGTTTCCGAGCTTCCAGACTGATTATTCCATTCTGTAACAGTTATATTGTCAAGATTTGAAACAGGAAATTTTGGGTTGTCAACGACAGGTTTACGTCCTTTATCATAACATATGACTTTGTTTTCTACGTTTGGATTATTGGTGCTATTAGACACGTGACTATCGTCATAGTAGATATGCTTTGGTAACAATTGTTCTTCTTTTGGTGCATCAACCTTGCCTAACTCCAACCGGCAAACACTGTTAGAATCTGTGTTGGGTTGTGTTTTTGATAAGTCTAGTATGGGTTGATTATCAAAGTCTACATCATTTCCTATGGCAAGGGACGGAGATTTACATCTTAAGTTCTGATCATTTTGTCCTATAACACCACTGTAAGCCGAAACACACTGTCTTTTAATTATTGAACAATCATTTTCGACTTTTCTCCCTTCTTCTTCATCTATATGCTCCATATGAATCTCCTCTATTACCTTTAAATATCTTATTCTAATTCTTTTAAAACCTCTCGCAATCTTTATAAAAGTTGATCTTCTTAACAGGATATATAACCATGGGTCAAGCGTCTGGTTCAAGCTGGCTAGTCGGACAGCGGTGAGATCTAATAAATTGTTCTCTACACCCGTTGCCTGGGTAACAATGATTCTTATCTAAAAAGACAAATATATTTGAAAAATTATTCAAACTTGATCTGAACTGCAAAAGGACAATTGAATGATAATTAGAAGTTTGGTATGCATTGATTTTTTTCTTTATGCAAAAAAGGGAAAGAATTAATTAAGACGTGTAATATGATTTGATGCTACATGTTTGAAATGATCGATTATGAATGTGCAAAAAAAAGAATACAGAACATTTATTTCACCGACTGCAATTTAAAATGGATTTAAATATGTCTCGAAAACGGCAGAATTACTGGAAATAAAAGTGTCAGATTGTCAAATGTGCTGAGTGGTTACATAATTAAATCATGTCGGAGTACAATCAGACTAATATACGGTTTCGTCTGTCACAAATAGCACTTTCTCAAAGCTGTTGCAAATTTGAGAAGTTGAATACCAAGTTTGTAATGGAAAAACTTGAGAATATAAAGAAATTTATCTTTACATATTTCCAAATCGTATAAAACGAGTTTATATTAAAAGAGTACATAATTGCAAAGAAACGTAAATTCTATTGGAGACAGTCCCTTGCAAAATCAAAAGTTTAAAATCCAGACATGCGTACATCGACATACACAAAGACCCTTTGGTGTGTCGCTTACAAACCATTAATGGTGCCCAGCAAATAGTGAATACGACTGTCAATGCACATAACAATACAATCATCTGAATCTCGGCATCATTTGACTTTTTCCGCTGGTTTCTCGCTTTCACAAGTCCATCGTGGTCTTGTAAAGATGTATTTAAGGAATATACCCGTTCGTTGGCACGCCTTAGCCTCGTTCTGAATATTGCTACAACAGCATATGCATTGCATAATATAATCGCAAGTATCAATATCAAATTTGTACATGCATATATATACCCATATATATTAGATGTTATTTTTTGAGAATGGAAGTCTAGGTAGCACCATGTTCCAGGATATTGTTTCTCATAATTTCCAAAACCAAATAAAGGTAAAAGTCCGTACAAAATAGTTCCAAACCAAAGAATAAGAATACAAACACGTGCTGTACTCGTGCGACAACGACCAGAGTAGAAAAATACATATCGTAACGCTAGAAACCGTTCAATTGCCATGGCACAGATTATCAGCGGTGTCGCAAGTCCAAATGCCGCCATTGTAAAGCCATGGAAACGACAGTGAGCGTCTCCTCCCATCCATTTACGTTGGCTTACATAAGCAATAAGAACAGAAGGTGTTGTCATAACTATTCCAAGGAGATCTGTCCAGGCTAAACCTTTAATAAAACTATAAAACTTTGTTGTTCGTACGTCTGTCCGTGCCTTGTACAAACTTAAGAGGGCTAATATATTTCCTAGAACACCAGTTAAGGACATCAACAACGGTGATACAATTGTCGCTCCTGCCGGACTTGTTACACAATTTACACTGTCTGTAACATTTGAAGTATGGTTACACATTTCCCTTTATCACACTATCTGAAAAATATAAAATACAATGTACATTATCAGACATTATATTATAAAGGAATCAGATTTGTAAAAGATATTATAAATGAACAGGGTAACTTTGTAGATTTGATATATTTAGAACAGGTCACAGGTAAGCCTGTGAACTTTTTACAGTATCATAGTTTAAAACAGGCAATAGAAATGTACATGCAAAAGTTAAATATTTTTATTTGTAACAATTTGCTTAATGTTCAATATCCTATAATAAATTGTTATGTTAAACCTATTTTAACTATGAAAAACAATAAGAAATATGTCTATGAAATTATAGCTAAAAATTCAGACATACCTACAAGTCAAGAAAGGTGAAACACATGTTTTAAAGATAAAAACATTAATTGGCAGTTAATATATAGTTATGATTTCAAATGTTCTAAAGATTCATATATTCAGTGGTTCCGAACAAGAATTATTCATAGAACTTTAGCTACAAACTCACTTTTGTTTAAAATGAAAATTGTTGACAATAGAATGTTGTACTTTTGTAAATGCTGTGAAGAAACACTTTTACATTTATTTTGGGAACGTCAGAAAATTCAAAGCCTATTTCAATATTTTAGAGAAAACTAACATAATGTTCATGACGTTTTATGTTGTTCAACATTCATATTAGGTACAGAAACCAAAGACTTTAAATATAACATATTGTTTCTAGAACTGAAAAGATATATTTATTTGTCTAGGAGAAAAAACGTTTTACTATCATGTACTGGTTTTAAAAATAGTTTAAAATTAGCATGGAATATCTATAGAAATACAAATTTGACAGATGATGAAAATAATATATGGGCAATTATAAGACCCTTAATTGTTTAAACTACACTTAATACGTGAAACAAAACTTTACCTCGTAACAGATTGTTTAATTGTTTATTAATAAATAGTAATTTTATTGGTAAAATATTTTTGGAAAAGAGATGGGTTTATTTATGTATGTTGTTTATATTTATATGCAAAATATATACTGTAGATGTATTTGACAATATTTACATGAATATAATTATTTTGCAACATGTATATTGTATATTAACAATGTAAGGTATAATGGAGGATGACCCCGACCCCCTCATACCTATTATGGTGTAAATAAACGTGGTTACCAAGATGGGGCCATAAAAAAATACAATCTACGCAAAAAAATTCATTATCTTTATTTCATTATATGAATTCTTTGTCTTACTCACAACACAATCTTTAAATATCACTCAGTAAAAATTTCGACATATTTTTTAAAAATATTGTTGTAATCAAAAGATGAAAAGGATTATAAATAATCGATCCGGCTTACGTGTTAAGAATTTGCTTGATTGTTGGGGGCCATAACCATAGTAACAACATTTTGAAGTTGTTCAATGAGTTTTTTTACCGATGGGATGTAAAGTGGTTATTGTTTAGACTAAGATAAAAAAGAAAGTTGTTTTTATTATTACATTGATATATCAAAACAGAACAAAAAGTTGTTACAGTAGTGATCCAAAAATTACAACAAGTCATTTTATTTGTAATTAAATATTGAATCCCAAATATGTTTTTATTGTTTTGTGAGAATCATTTATGTATATTATTTTGTTTTCTCTCCGATGACTTATCATCATTTATTTGTGATAACCAACACTAGTTTATGGTAATACATGTAACTGGTAGAATTGTAAAACATGTCTAATTTCATACCTTTCTATGAGGAGTATTTCTCTAGTGGCCAATTGTAAGCCTGTGTCCGAATATTGGTACTTAATTGCCTTGATTTTTTTTCTTTTTTGAGCTTGCATATCTTAATCCATATCTTTTTTCAAATATGTTTTTTTAACCTCGGCTAAATGATTATATTTAAGTTATAGTATTTTTTATCCAAACATTTGATTTTAGTTATTGATAATGGTAGTAAATGATATAAATGTCGAATATTTTACAATTTACGCAGTAAAGAAAATATTTTAAAATGTATTAAAGAAGGTAATATTTAAAGTTCTTTTACCTTGTTAGTGACTCCTTCCTAACGTTCCTTTATCCATAAAATGCAATGGTATATTGCCTTATTTCATCTGCATTTATACCTTAGCTGTCGCCACACACAAAGCTATTGGTTTGTCTCAGAATAAATTTCCAATACCTAAATATACAGATATTAACATTTAAACATTGCTATAAGATAAAAGTATCATGAAATATTTATATAACTTGTCAACTGTCCTGGTGTTAAAGGAAGGTAATAGTCATCCTTTTTGACCTTTAGCCTTCTGTCGGTGACTTTATATACATGTACCTATGTGACCAGAGCACGTGTGGTTATTTTCTGTATTGTTCGCTTTTCAATTAGTGCTTATTTTGAGTTTTCCGCTAAAATGGTGACATGATTGGTCAAATTTTAAAGACGGACAAGTCTTAATATAAATTAATATAAATCAGATGTGCTTAAAATGTCAACAGCATGTGATTAAAATTGAATTCTACAATAAAAAATACGTAACATCTACATTTCCTCTATGTTAACGTTTATCTTAATATTCTAAAAACTGAAAAATGCTAGTATGATATTGTGTATTAAGTGAATTTGGTATATGCTTATCTAAATGTACAAGTATTTTATATCAGAGTTTTTTCTTTTATTTTGGGTATCTTGTTTGTTCAGTATTATCATGACGTTTCATGATAAAAATGTTTCAAATTCTTATTCCAATTACCAGTTCCTGTCAATTGTTAAATTCTTCTTGAGCCGATTCTAGGAGGCGTGGAAGATAGCTTTCAAATTACCACTACCGTTCATAAGCATGCTGAATTAAACAGAGCCTGCAACATTTTCCATTATGCCGAGACGGACTTTCTTTAGGGATTCTGTTTTTCTCTATTTTCTCTATCTTATTTCCAATAAACAAAATGTGGTTACTCAACATTCATTGTTAGACATACATGTATGTATTAATAAATGATCTGTCACAGCTACTTACTTCACGTAAACATCATTAGCGTTCCTTTAAAATTGATCGATATTAAATTAACAAACAATCCCTCGGGCTACAATATGTTGTACAATAACTTGATAAATAAGCACAATTTTACATTATTGTCGTACAATAACATTTATAAAACAATCAGAAATGATAGCATCATACTTGTATACAATATATCCCCCACACAAATTCAATTTTCTTTCGTTGTAATATAAATATTTATGAGAGATGTTATATAAATTAAAACATGTTTTATTTACGAAACATGGTCATAACTTTATTTTCTCTATTTTACTTAAGTTTAAAATAGGCATTAAAGGTTAAGAATTCATTTTAAAACAAATACATGTAAAAGACATCAATGGTAATGAAAAGTCAATGAAAACATGCGTGAAAAGGTCAATGGTGGCAAGTATTAAATTCTCTTCTTATACTTTTTATCACATGAAGAATGTGTATTGACACATGAAACATATATATTGTACCAGTATCTTAACTTATATCGTTAAATATGAATTCTTTGTTTTGTGCTTTGTTGTCTATTATATCATATCTACACTGTTAAGGTCAAATGGTGAGTTATCAGCCTTACTGGTGAAAGAATGCTAAAGGTATCTCCATCGTGTATTATGTAAGGAACTAGAGGGCACCTGAGTGGAACGACCGACAATTTGTTGATTAGCTGGATGTCCAGCTGATTATAAGTATTTTCTTATGAATTTTGACTCGATGTAAACTTCAACACATTATATTGAAATATATACGCATCTATATCCTAATGACTTTGACATTTGTATAAGCTATTACGTAAAAAGTAATTATAGATATCTGATTTTATCAAACGTTTTGTCATAATAATTAACTACGTAGTGCTGTATCTGGAACAATATATAAAGCAACGCCTGCTTGAGACACAAAACCTGATGATATAATTATAGACACTTGGACTTCAAAGTGATTTATTTTGAGCCATTCTATTCCCTGAAGTACTTACATAATTGATTAATTTGATTTATCAGATTTGATTTATAGAATGAACGAGCCCACATCATACCATTTGGAACCTGCTGATCTGTCTGTAATGATTAATTTCAAAAGTACATGTAAGTGTAACATTTATTGCGTACAACACAAAAAATGATATAATGCTAAAGGCACATTATGCCACAAAATCAAATAAATAGATAAATAAACAAATAAATAAATATTTGCTTCTTTAGAAAGGAAAAACATGAATTTTGCCTTGTTTAAGTAATGGTTATAGAGAAATGTTAGATGCTTACTGCCTAAAAAGTAGCAATAAATAGAGGATATTTGTTTGTTTGTGTGAAAGATGAAATTCTATTTCATCGAATAAGGTTTAAAAACAGTATTCAAACGAGTGGCGTAGTCACGAGTAAGAATACTGTTTTTAAAGTTTACGAGATGAAATAAAATTGCATCTTACACAACAAACAAACATTTTTTTATTCTATGCTTAAACAAGTTAAAACGAAATTCCCTTGATATTGAGTTTAATATTAAAATCTGTTTTCCCCACTGGTAGCCTCTATTAGTCGAATTTCTCATAAAATACAAGAAGTCTTGGGCTGAAAAAATAAGTTCGACAATCAACGTTAAATGGCGATGATATTATTCATTTTATTCAAATAATATGAATGATCGTTTTCTTTAAAAAGTCAAATCATCCATTCATATGTTTGTTTCTTACGGCGAATTTATATTAGACCTGACTCTGTGAAATGTAAGAGGCCGCCATTTTTAAGTGTTGTGTATTTCACGGGAGGAAAATAATTGTGTTTGATTCAGAGGGATGTCATTCGGATTTGCCAGTCAAACATATTTTAAGAAGAAAGAAACTTATTTGAGGATTGTTACAGACAATAAATAAGTGTTGACAGATGTGTATACGTTCAAAACGCGACTAGGAAATTGGAAAACATGGAATTCTTGAAAGGCTGCCTTACGAACGCTGGGTTGTTTACTTATTCTTCGGGCTGA